GAAGGAGTTTGTGCACAGGAGGCGGACAGGAAACCAGCAGCTTTCCCAGGAAAAAAAAGCCCTGTGTCCTCTGTGCTGCTCTCGTTGGCTGTTAGCTGGTGGATTGGAAAAAAAATCCCTCTTCTAAACCCCAAAGCTACTTTTGACAGCAACAAATCATTAGCTTGGAGCCAGTCTGCAGCACGATAAAATCAACTCGAGGAGGGATAAAAAAAAATAAAAATATCTTTCTCTTGACAAGCACGTTAGATTTTCAAGGGAAGGAGAAATTGTTGTTGAGAAAAACAAAGAGAGAAAAGTGAGAGGACTGTCAAACTGGATTAAAAATAACTACCTGGGTATTATCTCCTCGCACAGGAGTGTCTGCACGACTGCTGTGTTTACGCCGTCAGGCCGCGGTTGTGTTGGAGATTACTGTAAATTAAAGCCATAGGCGGGTAAGCTGGAACAGAGGTTTTTGAAGGGGGATGCTCCCAGGAGGCTGGGAATGGGTCACGGGGAGAACAACGTCCCCAGGCTGCGGTGCAGCGGGCAGCCAGGCACGGGGGGGACCGCAGGCACCGGCTGCCCGTGCTGGGGATGTTCACCTGGGAGGTGGCCCCATGCGTGAGCTGCTGGGTGCCCTTAGTTTGGAGCTGGTGGCCCTCCAGCATGGCTGGGACCTTGGTACCACCACGGGGGCTCATCTCCATCCTGCTCGTCCGGGGGTTCTTGCTGGGACAGGCGAGTGTCCACTACTGGTGGCTGGGATGAGTGAGTGGGCTGGGGGCACTGGAGGTGGCTTCAGGTGATGAACCCTCCGTGCATCACCCACAGAGCTATTTTCAGTCTCTTTGCAGAGAAGGGACCTGAGGTAGAGATGCCCTGGGGGTGGGTGGTATGGCCGGCTGCCGATACCTGCGCCCACCTCGGCCATGGCGCAGCTCCGATGCAAATCAGGAGCTGCAGCTCCCAGTTCTCCCACTCCCAATTCCAGTTATGGAAAACACCCACAAACCTCGGAGATGGCTTCTGGCCAAGAGCTGTTGCTGGGACAGACTGTTCGTAGTCTTGCTGTCTAACACAGCTCTCTCACCACCTGAAAATACCTGATGGTCCAGACTTGTGCCTTGAAGGGGGTGCTAAACTGTAATCTGATTGACAGCTTAAACTCCAGCGAGTCCATTTTAACAGTGATCTGCAGTATCTGCAAACAGACAGACCTGGGGGAAAGGAGGGAGGCAAGTCAAGAGAAATAAAGTTGAATAAATATTTGCTCTGTGGCATCTACCGGAGAAATTCCTCCAGCAGGAAAACACACTGCAAATAAGGATACTCAATGCTTCTGGCTCTCCTTCCACTGTGGGATGGCTCGGCTTGATTTTGCCACTTTGGGCCTCTCACGCCTCCTTAAAAATCAGTCTTAACCACCGTGCCCTAAGCAGGGGACCCGTTGGGTTGGTGGGAGCTGGGTCCCAGGGGAATCGCTAGATGCTTCGAAGCCAAGCTGTGACCACCACAGCTCAGGGCTGTGTGGGGAGGAGGAGAACCAAGGGACATCAGGCAGGGCTGCTCAAATATGGGCCTGCTGCCACCCAGGAAGAGTCATTAGGGCTCGAGCTAATTATAGTCCGTCTGGGTGGTGGTTGGAGGTTTGTGAAATAGGAAGTGTTTTCTAGCTGCATGGCTGCTTTGCTCGGTAAAGAGGGTCTCGGTGACATGCAGAAGGGGATGCACCTGCAGTGCCTGTTTCTCGTAGGCAGAAAGGCATGACAGGTCAGGAGAGCACGGGCTGGGCAGCGAGGACCTGCCGCCGTCACGCAGCACCCAGTTAAGTCAATTAGGTGGCTCCAGACACGCTCTGGTGATTCACCTGCCGATGGTTGGGAGGTGGCTGCCCCCTCTCACGGAGGTTTCTGCCCCGTGTCGCCGGGGGTCATCCAGCACCGGCACAGGGTCGTGGGGAAATGCTCGGTCTGTTCACGTGGCCGGTGAGATGGGCACCGTGACACCGATGACACCAGCGGCTGTGACTTCCTTAGTTTTAGATGTGCTTTACTGTGACTCAGTTTGGTTATCTCCAGCTCAAATTATCTGTACCTCCCTCATCAGGGAAGCCATTAGATTTAATTTGTTAATGCTGATACAGCTCTGGCTTCTTGGGTGGCTGGTGTTACCTACAAAGCCTATTGTTTGATTTGTCATTATTCCTTAGTTTTAGAAGGAGAGTTTTAATTTTTCCTCTTTGTGCTGCTCGAGGTTTCTCCTCTGACCTTTGCTGTTGTTGTTTTGCACAGAGCAGAGTATTGACTCATCGGCGGCCTCTGTGATAACTATAATTAGGAGAAAATGCATTTACAAAGCTCTTTCCTCTGATGCAAGCACATCATTGTCCTTGCAGGGAAATAATTCTTGCCATGCTTTCAGGTGGGTGTGGGCAGCTAGTGATTACATTTGACACTCATTATTTGAATGGATTTTCCTAGTTGGATATGCTACCTACGAAGCAAGCGGTAGTCTGAAGCCACCTTTATATTCCCCGCTTTTTTTGAGCACAAGTCTACCGATGCATTTAAACATATAGGAAAATAATACAAATGTATAGATTGCAGTTCAATCCATTAGCACCAAACTGTGCTCCCCTCGCCTGCACCTTCCTCGGACACCGGCATTGCTCCGCGTGGGTTTTGCTTTTCCTGGTTGCGAACACCCACAGGAGGGAACAGACCCTGGCAATATTATAAAGAGAAGCAAAGACTAGTAGAGCTGCACAGGTCTTTCTCTCTCCATCGTACACCTTGCACAGTTGCGTAGGGTTTAGGGCCGAGGAAGAACAGTCAATCTAATACCCCGTTAAAACGCTGCTGCCTCATCAGAATAACTGCTGGGAGAAGAGCAGAGCTCAGCCCCGCTCCAGCCAGTGAGAAAGCGCAGAAGGGTCTCCCTTTGCTTTGGGGGGAAAAGCACAATTTAGAAAACTGTCTCGGTGGCTAAATAATAGGAAATACCTATGCAGCTCCTATGCAGCTGCTGTGTTTTACTCGGTCACCTCAATTGTTGCAGGTTCAGTAGCTCAAATTAGTCGGCGCTGTGCCGCTGCAGATAACAGGAGAGATTGTGGCCCCGGACTGGCAGCAGCCCATTTCTGCGGGTGCAGAAGCCCTGGGCAGGCAGGCGCGGGTCGGTCGCTTACACCTGCGTGCATCTCATCCTGAATCGTCTTGAGGCACCCCTCTGAGGGCTCTCCGTAACATTTTCCATCACCGGTTACCCCGCACCTGCCCTCTGCCTCCGATGGGGGACTTATACCCAAAAACGCCTGCCCGTATCATCCCGCTGGGGTTGGTCTGACCCGGACGAGCCTCTGGTTTCGCTGTGCTTTGCCGTAGCAAGCTGAAGTCGGTGGAGCCGCCGTGCCAGGAGCTGGCCGGGGCAGGTGATTAAATAAACCCAAACAAATCACCTTTGGCTTTGCAGCAAATTAAGATATGATTGCTGCATATCTTCCTCTCGGCATAAGACCAGGAGGGACTCTGAGAGCATTTACCAGCCAGTTCAAACGGCTGAGGCGGGTCAACCCTTGGTAAGTTATTTTTCCAGCAAAGATACATGAGCCGTTCTAGTTCCTGTGTTATTTTGTACGTTTGTACGTGTGCACCGTAAAGATGGTTCCAACCTTCAAAGCACCAACTGAAACACTTCCAGTTCCTCCTGCCAGAGCTTGGCACTGAGCTGCTTATCTGCCCCGTCAGGAAACAGCAATAAATTCACCTCCAGCGGGCACAGCTGCCCGGCGTGTTTTACTTTTCATTGTTCCTCCTTCTCCCTCCGTGACGGGCCGTTTGACACGTTTATAAATGGTCTTGTGTTGCGTGGGATTAACCTACATTTATCATCATTCCGGTACGGAGAAATAAATGCTCGTTTCAATAGAAAAAGTGACCCAGGTTGTTTCCTGCGCAGAAGGCGGGTATGTTCAGCAGGGTGGAAAGCACAGAGGTTAATGCCCCGGTACGCTGAATTCCTCAGTCATCTCTGGAGCAGAGAGAGTCTGTTTGCTCAGTGCTTTGTGCTCTGGCCTCTGAGCATAAAAATAACCAAATGCAAATAATACAAATAGTGGGCGTTCTCACTAAGCTTTTAACTCCGTAATTCACGGGCAAAGGGGGACCCGGACTGATGTTGCGGGGCTGTGGGAAGGCAGAGGAGTTCACCAGCAGCTGGGGTCTGAAGTTTGCAGCAAAATCTGGGTCCCTGCTCCAGAAGCACATCGCTGACTTGGAGCAGGAGAAAATTCCCTTCCCACCTATTTCCAGCCTGTATCTTCTGCAGGAGCACTTTTCCTGGGGCTGAGTACTCATGTACCAAAAACCGTATTCAGTTAACATATTATTACTCGTATTAAATTTCTGATCAGGCCAGGCTGGATTATCTTGCTCCTCTCTCTGGGCTATTGAGCTCCATCATCTCTTGTCTCACACTAAAGCATTCCTCCATCTCCCTCCTGTTTAGGAAGGATAACACACACACACACCACCTCCCTTGGGAACAGGTAGGAATGCCAAATAACAAGTGTTTGCTGCGTTTACATACGGTGTGTCTCATGCAAATACTCCCAACCTCATGCACTGACCTTTCCTTTGTTATACTTATTTTTTAAAGAACAGTTTCTAAAGCTTTTGTTTGGGTAAAAAAAGCAACCAAACCAGGTTCCCCCCCCTGCAGTCGATGAGCAGCCTGTTCCACCTTGCAGCCTACGGACAGACACTATCGTTTTGCTGCTGGGGTCAAATGCTGTTTGGGGTGAAAGTTAGCATCATTCCTGAATGTCACCAGATGCGATACGCTCTGTGTCAGAAACACTGTGCTGCAGGGGGATTGCACTGACCTTTATTTTATCAAGACAGACTCGTTACAGCTTGCAAGCAAACCAGTCTGACCTGTAAGCGCTGGGTGCGCGTGGATCTACCAGGCAGACCATCCCATCTGCCCTTTCCCCATCTTCCTCTCCATCCTCGCAGGCCCGAGTCCCGCGTCTGGACGGTGATGTTGCTGCTGGGGACGTGCCTGCTGTACTGCGTCCGTGTCACCGTGCCCATCTGCGCCGTCGCCCTGAGCACCCACTTCGACTGGGACAAGAAGCAGTCCGGCATAGTGCTCAGCAGCTTCTTCTGGGGCTACTGCTTGACACAGATTATCGGAGGACATATCAGTGATCAGTACTGGAAATTATTCTCATGTTTTCCTCTGCCCAGGCTTTTTCAATGACACTTAGCTTGGTTTTGACTTCTCAGTTCAAGTCTCGACAGTGGCTGTGCCAGGTTTCACCCTGGGACAGTGACGGGGTGGGAGGGTGAAGCGTGTCTGTGGGTAGAAGTTTTACGGGGCGCTGCAGGTTGCTCTGAAAGCGGTTGAGGTCTCTCCATCAGCCTCCCTCAGGGTCTATAGCTCAGATTCAGGAAGGATATGTGTAGTTTTGGCTGTCTGATTAGATTCCTGGGTCTTGAAATTGCTGCTGTGCTTACAGGGCAGTATGCACGGAAGGACTTTGCACAGGCAAAGCCCCCGGCAAACCCAGGGAGTGTCTGCACCCGCACTCCTCCCCCCACAGCTCCTGCATAGCCGCTGCCGGGAGAGACCTACAGTCGTGTTAATGGACACTGAGACCAACATAGGGGGTTTTTTTCACCTGGAAACAGTGAAGAGCACTTTTATACCAGCATAATTTTTCTGATGGAGGTTGTTTTTAGCACTGGTTCAGTAATTGGGATAAAAAAAAGCAAACCCACAAGCTTACATGTTAAGCTGATGAAAGAAATAGTGGGTGTAAAGCAGACTTTATTTTAGAAAAGTGATAAATGCTGATGCTCATGCATAGTTCCTAGCTGCTGCTCACCGGGAGTGTTATTTGTCCATTAACAGCTTAATCCCAGTGGTGCCGGACAGCCATTTGGAAGGGTTTATAGCTGCAATCACTAACCACAGGAAGAAAATATTTCCTTTTTGCAGCGAATACAGCTTTTTTCTATTTGATCTGCAGAGTCCAACTTCATTTTCAGTGCAGCACCTCCAATTTTTCCACCCTATATTCTCATTCTCACAATCTTTTCACAGGCCAGCTCCCATCACAATTTCCATCATGTACGGGATGTCTCCATTTTCTCATATCAATTAAAAAACAACTTCCCCAGTTAGCTGTAAGGAAAGATCTAAGTAATTACCTGCTCCAGTTCCTTTCCCCAGCCACCCTCTTCTTAGTGAGGAAGGCTTTCCTATGAAATCTTTTGTGAGGAACACATGCCTGGAAGGAGTGCATCATCCACGCAAGGCACTATGCTATTTAATTACCTTCCTTGATCGTTTGCAAGCCAATGCCTGCAAAGCCCCCAAATATTAACAGGCAGAGCCGATGCAGAAGAGCAGACAGAAGAGAAAACACCGTCACCGGTTAAGAAAAGCAGAACAGTGACAGCAGCTTGGGCTTCCCCTCCGTCAGAGACTTGAGTGTGTCAGCGCAGTGGTGTCTCTGGGGTTGGTGTGTGCTGGAGCTGGACGGGCAGCGCTGGCAGCCAGCGTCCTGGTGAGAGCAATGCTGGCGGGCAGCTGCTTGCTGCCTGCTCCAGGGGAGCAGGAGGTGGGAAGGGAGGAGGTCAGAGCTACTCCCCAGAAGGCTAAAGGCATTTGTAAGAGAAGAACAGGTTTGACTGAAAGTTGCTCTTAAAAACAGGCTAAATGGGGAAGAACATTTGAGTCTTGAGTGGGGGGCTTTGCCCTTTCACCCTCCCCTCGTTTTTGATAATGTGTTTTCTGTCTTCCAGAATAGGAGGGGAGAAAGTCCTCCTCCTCTCGGCATCAGCCTGGGGGTTCCTCACGGTCCTCACCCCGCTGCTCACCCACGTCACTTCTGCCCATCTCGTTTTTATGACCTCCTCCAGGTTCCTCATGGGGTTGCTGCAAGGTGAGACCCCTGTCCTGAGCGTGTCTGTGTGTCTGTCTGCCCACAGGCTTCCTTGCGTGGGGGCTCATGTGCAGTAAATTCAGATGCAAGTCATCTGGTTTGCAGAGCATGAACCCTTCTGCGTGTTCGAGCAATCCTCTGCCTCAAAACTGCCTCCGCATCCAGAACTTCTGCAAAAGAAAAAGTGACAAATCATTCCCCTGTAGAAATCTCTCTGCTGGACAAAGGCTGCTGACTTCTGAAATCATCACTGTTCCTGTTCAATTTTCCACATTTTAAAACTCCTTCAAAGCACTTGGGGAAAATTGGACCTTGCCAAAACTTTTGGATAATTTGGGATGATTTTCCTCCCCTCTTGCCGAGCTGCAGTGCTGGGGAACCGATGGATTTACGGTAGCAGCAGTGATGAGGAAACAGGGGATTACAGAGAAGGCACAAACAAACTTTTCACGGCGACGGATTCACTTATTTTATGTTATATCCCTGTTTTGAATCACCAAAGGTTTCATTGCTTTGTCTTGGTGTTTATAGCTTTTTAATTTGCTTTTGATTTGCTCACAAGGGCACAGGAGCCTGACTGCTCCCTGCCTTGCTCCCGTTGCTCACAGGGGTGTATTTCCCGTCCCTGGCCAGCCTGCTGTCCCAGAAGGTCCGGGAGAGCGAGCGAGCCTTCACCTACAGCACAGTGGGGACTGGCTCGCAGTTTGGGTAAGTTCGAAAGGCTTTGAGCAGCCAGCGACAGTCTCTGGACATCATATGTAATGAAATGCCATTAAATAGTTGGAGGCAAAACTTGCAGTACATGTGGATTCCTGGGTCCTTGAGGATACCGGCTGCAGCTGAGGAAGCCTCAGGCAGTTGCTGTCATGCATGTCAAGGATTTATGTATATTTTTTTTTGTTTCTTTCTTTTCAAGACAGACTTTGAAGAGTGTTTGCAACATGTAATTACTATGGGAATCAGCCTGGTTCAGTAGGAAGAGCAAGGGTCAGCCTGAGACTGGTCACCTGTCCTCTCTGATAGACGGGGATAATATAACTTCCCCATCTTTGCTAATCTCCATGAGAATTTCCTTTCTAAATGGAAGAATTGTTTAAAAGCCAAATAGAAATATTACTGCATTTAATCACTTAGTTTCCAGTGTACTCCTGTCTTTTGCTGATTTATACATTCTCTGAGATACTTTCTGCACACCAGCAACCTCATTTTCTTTCCCCGCTGGGCATGTGTCAGTGTGGGGCAGGCGAGCATGAGGTCCCGTTGCGGTTTCTGCTGCCCGGCTGAGGATCTGGCCCGAGATGCCACGTGGGGAACAGGGCAGGTTGCAGAGTCACGGGGTGACCGGGCAGGCGGGCAGCGACTGATGGCTCCTTTAAGTACATTTAGTGATCCGCAGCATCCCCCAAGGGAGCATCTCCCATTGCTGCGTGCAGCCCAAAGGCTTTTAGCCAGACCTGTAAATCCGAGTGTGGCTTCCCTTGCAGGACGCTGGTGATCGGCGGTGCGGGATCTCTCCTCCTGGACTGGTACGGCTGGGAGAGCGTTTTCTACTTCTCTGGGTTTCTCACTTTGCTCTGGGTTTACTGCACCTGCAAGTACCTCCTGAGTGAGAAAGGTAAGTGCAGCCGCCTGCATCCCTCGGGCTGCCAGCGCTCCTGAGGCTGCGGGACCCAAGTGGCACCTCCCGGTTATTTTCTGCAAATCCCCTCTGGTTGCAAGATCACACCTGGTTTTGCACAAAGACCTTTTGTTCAGATGTCTTTTCGGGCTCTTGCATTGCTGATTTCCTATTTCAAGTCCCACGCTGGATTATATTGCTGTTGAGAGCCTGATCTGACTCCTCAGTACTCTTAAGCATCAGTGAAAACACCAAACAGAGCATGATCTTCAAAGTGGATTAAGCTAAAGCAGGGCAAGATACTTATTCCAAACTAAAAGCATCTACACAGAGCTTTTAAAAACCAGTTAATCCGGAATATCTCTTCCCAAATAACTGTCTGGGAGTAATTCCACACATGGGGAAACCATTATACCTTGCTACCGCATTATTAGTGTGAGTGTGGTATGTAGGTTCTCAGCCCATCAGGAGCCTGGTGTGTGTCTGGTGCTGCACAAAATCCAAACCTGGTCCCTGCACAAGGGATTTTTGTTTAATTTTAACAAGAGATATATCGAATGGGTGAAGGTGGCTGGATGGGGAAGTGTGTGGGTGCAGTGGAAAGATTTTGGTCAACATAACAAGGTGTTTTCATGAGCATTCAATGCTGGTATATCCAAAAAAATGAGTTAGAAAGAGATTAAAGGTAGTTATATAGCGGTCTCCCAGGGCTTCCTCCAGCTGCACAGAAAATTACTGATCAGAGCTTGCCTTTGTATATTTTCTTCTCTGCAGAACTCATCATTCCTATAGATTATTTAATGCGAGGCCTCTCGATATCCAAGCAGACCAAAGTTCCCTGGAAGCAGCTGTTTAAGAAGGCACCGATATGGTAGGCAGCTGCAGTGGCCTCGAGGGTCGGCAGGGCTGGGAGAGCACCCTCCTTCCACAGGCTTTTTCTCCTCTTTGTTCTTATTTCTTCTGCCTATGAGCGTTTTGTCCACTTATTTATATATTTGGGAAATATGACCAGGTTTTCCAATACCTTCTGTATAAATAAATAACTGAAAAGGTAAGCGTGATAAATGGCGGTTTCTGTTCTGTGTGGAGGAATGTCAGGTTTGAATATTACTGACAAATCTTCCTCCTTTGCAGTGTGCTCCCTGTGCGGGTTGTGTGCTCCTCCGGCGGGATATTCTCCACAGCTCTGGTTAGAAATGCTGCTTGTAATGGGCTCCTAAGCAGTGCTGCTCGGGGGCACTGGGTGGCACAGGCTGTGTTCTCATTGCTGGCAAAACATCTTGTTAATAGCCATTTTTCCTTTGCGATGCTACATTAGGTACTGAAGTTTATCCCAAGTGCTGTTTAAAGACAGGGAGGAGGGCAATGCAGTGCAGCAAGCCCATTCCTGCCTTGGATAACATGGAGCACCTGCTGATAACAAATCCCTAGAAAACCCCAGACAGTGCCTCTTGGAGCAGGACAGCTCTTGCAGCGCTGGAAGGGACTGGTGGGAAACGCACTCGCACAATCGCCGCTGCAGTTAACCTGGCCTGAACCCAGGGGCTGACATCAGGTCCTGAGCGGTGATGGCAGCAAAGAACAAGTGGCAAGCCAAAAGGAGAAGTTATCTATGAAAAAACCTCAGGAAGCAATTGTAGTGCTGTGAGGGATTTATTTATAGACCAGGAACTGAAATACTGGGCTGCTTGAGTGCTTCTTTCCTACCCAGTGTGACCTGTCACTCCTGATTTTTTCCTCCCTGCTGTGTATTTTCAGGGCTGTCATCATCGCTCAGCTTTGTACGGCCAGCACGTTTTTCACTCTCCTTTCCTGGCTGCCAACTTTCTTTAAGGAAACTTTCCCCGAGTCAAAGGTAAGCCGGCTCTGACGCACCGGCATTGCCGGTCTCTGTGCAAATGAGGTCGTGCTGGGTGCTGGCTGAAAGGGGTTGGTTAGGGAGGAAGACGATGGCAGAGGGACTTGGTGAGAGCAGGCTGGGAGGCAGGAGGAGGTGGGAGGCTTCCCTGCGGGGTCAGGAGCTGTTACCCCCCTGTTCCTTACAAATGCCTTTTCATATTACCTGTGCAAGGCACTTTATGGCATACTTGATATTTATATTAAAATCATGTATTAAACCAGCAAACATAGTCTGTGCACCTCGAGTAATATGCTTGTGCAGCAGTAATTTACTCTCTGTTAAGCGTTACATCACGGTGCCCTTATGTCAGATGTTCTATATAGCGTTCCCGCATCTGATAATTGCTTCATACATTTTAATAAAACCGTGCTTGAGGATGCTTGATCTTAAAGGATGGACGATAATCCTTAATGTGGGAAACCTATGTCACCTACTGGTCAAACACCCTTTCTGCAGGTGAGCTGCCTTCACCGCTGCCTAGGCAGCTGCCTGCAGTCCTCCTGGATGGAGGTGATGGAGGATTTTGGCTCATGCTGCTCAGGGCAATGGGCCGTAGGGATGAGACAAGGGTGGTTTGATGTGTTGGGATTGGCTTGCTGAGCAGCTCCAGCTGGTGTTAACAGACACCAGAGGTACTGCCCCACAAGCCCTGCGGGGTAATATTTTCAAAAGTGACCAAGACCCAAAGTTTCAAAGGCACTGAAAGACTCAGATGGACCCCGGTACGATTTCCAGGAGCAGCTGAAACAGGGTTATTCAGACCCAAGGTTATTCAGCCCTCCCGAGCATCCTGAAGCTGGGCAAGGAAGGGAGGGGTGCCTCCATGGGGTGACGGGCTCTGAGTGAAGCGGGAGGTGCAGGGGATGGTGGATGGATGGGTAGATTCAACCAGCTGAGATGAAGCCCAGCCCAACCTGCTTTCAGGTCCTTGTGGGATGTGGGCGCAAAAACGCCTCAGCAGCTGTAATCCAGATGACCAGTAATCATCTGTGATTACAACTGTGCAAGCTTGCTTAATTGAAAATAGACAAAGTATGTTGCTACCCATAATATTACCTAATCCTGGCATTAGAAAATCCAGCTACGTTCCCTCAGCTTCACAGTAACGCTGCTAATGAGGTTGAAGCTGATGCCGGAGATTTTGCCAACAGCTTTACTGATGACCCACAGGGCAGAGTAAAACCTGCAGCTTGCTTTCCAGGGCTCTGTGGCTCTCTGCCACATCACCTTGCTGAACAGTAAACTTTGCGATGTTTAATCCCTTGTTCCCAGAGCAGACGGAGCTTTCTGCCTCTCCCTTGGAGGCAGGGCCACTGGGGCAGGAGGAGAGACAGCAAACCTACAAATGCTACAGCCCCGTAACGCGCCTGCTGCCTTAGAGACTTTGGAGTGGTGCAAGGTGTAGCTGAGAGCTTGCTGTGCAAAGTGGGTAGAGATCCTGCGAGAAGTCCCGATCGCTTCATTTTTTTTTTGCCTTTCTACAGATATCACAGACTGTCAAATAAAATTTGAAAACAAACTCAGCTCTGACAGCAAACCTCTCTTGATCTTTGCTCACTTTCAGGGTTGGGTGTTTAATGTAGTCCCCTGGCTGGTTGCAATTCCAACAAGCTTGTTCAGTGGATTTCTGTCCGATCATTTAATCAACCAGGGTAAGAGCTCTTTTGGCTTTTCCTTAGCTCTTATTTTATGTGATGTGGAAAGAGGACCTGGGTGGGAGGAGGTGGACTTGTTTGTAGGGAGAAGAAGACCCAGCAAATAGACAATGTGAGGTTCTGATATGAAAGAGGATAAATACTCCATGGCCTGAATCCCACCCATGTATTTGAAGCTCCCTTTGATCTCAGCCACAATGTGCACCTGGAGATGAAATCTGGCCATCTGACATCCACTCACTCTGTGGTCTCCCAGCTGCAGAAAAAGGAAACTCGGTGAGTTGGGCTTAACTGCAACTCTCCCTTTCTCTTCCAGGGTACAAAACCATCACCATTCGTAAGTTCATGCAGGTAAGAGAGCTGAAGCCGCAGGAGTGACACTGGAGCTACCTCCTGACCTCTGCTTGCATGGCAGATTAGACCTTTTACGGAGCTGGGTTGGTGATTATAGGTGGGAGGAGGAAAGGGTTTGTAGCTTTGCAGATAGACCGGTGGTCAGTGCGTGTGGGCAATGAAACCCAGAGGAAAATCCTGACTGAGGAACAGAGCACAGTGATGGTAACTGAGCACAGAGATTTGTGAGTGCTCCAAAGAGGTTTTCTTTCACAGGGAAAGGCCAGCCATATGCTGTCACTCCACATGACCCCTTAGATACTAGGAAACAGCAATACAAGGGTGAGCAGAAATAGAAATGCCGGGTGAGAGCACAGCATATCCTCCCTGCTCTGCAGCATCGCTTCCCTCCGGACAGACCTCTGACACAGATAGGCAGGACAGTGGGGAAAAAAGAGGCTTGAGAAGCGCCTGGTGCTTACGAGCTCTTGCCACTGTAAAAGGGAATAGTTTGTCTGTGAAAGGAGTTGCTTTCTTCCTTACAGAAAATGTGCCGTGGTATTAATTTTCCCTTTCTTCCAGGTCATTGGCTCCGGTGTCTCAAGCATTTTTGCTTTGTGCCTGGGCCAGACATCCAGTTTTTGCAAAGCGATAGTGTTCGCCTCTGCCTCTGTTGGACTTCAGACCTTTAACCACAGGTAAGGAGAGTGATAATGACAGTAGCTGTGTCCCTGCGCTCTTATCCCACGCTCGGCATTTCGGGGTCTCGGAGGAGGCTGCCTCCGCCACGACTGTCAGAGCAAGAGCTGTCGCTTGTCTGAGCATCGTGTGTTGGTCCCCGTGAGGCCGGTGGAGTTTTGTGCCTGCTGGGTTGGAAATGATCCAGCAAACCTCTAGTGTGGGGAAAGGGTTCGTGCACTGGAGGGCACGTGGACCAGGCAGGTTTGGGGAGGTGAAGCAGGAGGGGAACTGCATTTTGGTCCCTCTGAGTGCTTTGAGTTGAATCCTTTTCCTGCTGGTACTCTGCTGTGCTGCTTCACTCTCAGCCTTTCCTCCTTTCTCCTGACAGTGCCATTTATTGCCTGGGATCCCTTCCTTTTTTTGCCAAACTGTGTAAATGATGAAAAAGCAGTCGCATTCCATTAAAACAGCCATTTTCCCCTCTCTTTCTCACTAGTGGCATTTCGGTAAACGTACAGGATCTGGCCCCCTCGTGTGCTGGCTTACTGTTCGGTAAGGGTTCCGGCGGGGTTTCGGTTGTGCTGGAGAGGCGGTGTGCGTGGGGGACGCGCGGTCGTCAGCGGTGAGGTTTGAGCAGGAGTAGCTCTGTCCAAAGTCTACTCCGTATTTGCAGCTTCAGCTTCCTTCTGCAATATACCTGCCATTGCGGGGGGCAGGTAACTGCACGAACCTGCCTTTCAAATGCTCACCTGCACCAAGGGACGGGGATGAGGCCGAGGGGTGGTTGTCCCCGCCGTCAGCAAGGCATGCTGCTGGGCACGCAGACCGGGCGTCGGATGAAGCCACTCACGTCCGCGGGTTTTGAATACGCAATTTCTTTCTTTTCATTACAGGTGTTGGGAATACAGGTGGAGCCCTCCTAGGTAAGGTACCTCCTGCAGCTCATCCCTTCCTGGGGAGTCCTCTCCTCGCAGGTGGGCAGGATCAGGCCCCAGAGCCTTTGCATTTCTTTCTCTTCCCTCCTGTCCCAGGTGTCATTTGCGTGTACTTGGCTGGCCACCTGATCGAAACCACTGGCTCCTGGATTTCTGTTTTCAACCTGGTGGCTGCCGTTAACAGCATTGGCCTCTGTGCATTCCTCATGTTTGGAGAGGCCCAGAGGGTGGACACAGACTCTGCATATATGGACCTGTAGAGATGAGTCCAGCAAGCAGCCGAAGGACAGGAGAGTGTCACATCTATGTGTCATTGTCGCACAAGTGCCAAAGAACATTTTCTTTTTTTTTAGGTGTTTAACAGGAAAAAAATATACTGAGACCAAGCAGGTAATGGGTCCAAATGAAACCCATGGGTGAAAAGAAACCTAGAGTTCATTTTTTGCTCAGGGCATAGCTGATGGCCTGTAGAGCCACCCAGCTCAACACCTCCGGTGGGGATACGGCCCGTGTGACTGGTTTGCCCCAGTCTGTGTCCAGTGGACAAATATCCATGTGGCCAAAGTGGCTTGCCTCCGAAGGAGCCGCGGTTTGCACGCTCTGCCCTGGAGCAGTCGCTGGCTGAGGGGAGCTGCTTCGCCCTGCCGGGAGCGGGTCCCTCCATGCTCTGCCGTCCCGTGACTGCAGCGAGGGTGGCCGGCTCCTGGCTGCCATGTGACACGTGCGTTCTGAATCCTTTCTGATGAAAGGAATCATCCAAACGAATGTACCTCTGACCTTAACCCTCCCTCGCGTGCCTTCATTTTGCAGTCTGCTCGACAGGTACAAGCCGGGTGTACAAGAGAACGGGTTGTGAGATGGATTCAAGGCTTCCCATCAGGGGATGTCTTCTGGCTGGATGTCTGCTGTGGACCCAGGGGCATGAGATTGCATCAACACTGCCTTCACCGCGCTTGAGCTGAGCCAGGAGGTTGTGGAGCGGACTGCCCAAACCACCATCTCTGCTCCAGGGCAGAGCTCAAGGGCTCCCTCCTCTCCTGGGTCGCTTTACTCCAGCCCTGAGCCAAGGTAGACTACCTCCAACGTGAGAGCAGAGGAAAGCTGCAGTCACCCGTGGTCAGGCTTAGCTGACCTCGCGGTGTAGGTGCAGCCGAGGAATCCCCCGGGAGCTGTTTTGCCATGTGCTATGAATGTATAGGAAGAAGAGGGCACCTCCTGTGCTATGGATCCATACCCCCAAATGCTGCTTTCTGCTTGATTAGAGGTGTCCTCCACATGCTCTCAAAGGCGTGCAAGAGACTTTCCAAAGAGCTTGCAACAAGCAGGTTTTGTTTCGACTTTAAGCATAAAGCAAATTTCTGCATTGGGGATCCCTAGTACTGGGTGTGGATCCTTGCTGTTCCCCGTGTCAGAGGGAAATACTCAGCTGTACACGCCTCTGAGCCTGAATGTCTTAAGTTATTTCTAAATATTTTTAAATTTAAGTACCAAATTCTATATTTTATGTACTTGAGGCCTGATTCTGCATGCTTGTTTTGAGTGGTACTCCCACCAAACCCCAAACCCCACAGTATTTCTAGAAGGAAAGGATTTACCAGCCTACAGTTTCTGGTTTTGTAGGAGCTATTTTAAATGTGACATTTCATATTAAAGCAATTCATTGCTTTTCCTCCCACCCCTTGCTTGCAGCCTGAAAGGATCTCTTTGATTTCTCTAGTGCTTACCAGAAAACTTCAGCTGAGACTTGGGAGCAGATTTCCCAAGGGACCTCACTGTGCAGGAAAGCTATAGGTTCTCATTCATTGCCCTTGGAAAAAAAAAATATATATATCCCTTGCTTCTCCTTTTATTTTGGCCAAATTTCTTCTCTGAAGCTATGTGGGAACCGTGTTAAATTTGTGACTGACTGGGTCTGCAGTGAAAATACTGACAGCCTTTTAATTGCAGAGACACTAATGGGTGCCACTCAGCTAAGCTGAGCTAGTTATCGGGGGTATTAAGAGATAAAGATGCATTGCCTGATGTCTTCGCAAGGCAATATAGGATCAGTGTGGCCTGATTGGGGGCCAAGGAGATGAGAAAGTAATTTTTTTTCTCCTTTTGTGCTTTTGTCTCTAAAAGGCTGGCTGCTACCAACCCTGTATCTGGGGTGCTGCCATGCCACAGAGCCGGGACACAGGAGCGCTGCTGGGCAGTGTTTTAATCCCAGCGAGTAAAACTGTAAACCGGGGAGGGCACACACAGCAAACACAAACCAGGCTTGCCAGAGAGGCCCGAGGCCGTGCAGCCATCTCTGCCATCTCTCTTGTCCCTCATCCCGTCTGAGCAGATTGTTTGCACATCCTTTCCTATAGTGACGTAGGGAAATGGTGGGGTTGGGGTTTTTTTTTTTCCCCCTGGCTGTTCAGCGTTGCAGGTCAGGAGTGAATTCTGGTTCTCTTTGCTGGTCGCACCATTTCTTAAACCGCGAGTTTAAATCCCTCGCATTGAAACCAGGCGGTTCGGCCACCCCTTGGCTCTGCAAGCCGGGAAATTTGGAACTAAGATCTTCACAGGAAAGTCAGCGTTGCTGGCTGTGCCTTCTTTGTAAATCCAGCTAACGCTTCGGTGGGCTGTCCGGATTATATGTCTCAGTAAACTGTCTAATGAGTTAAATATTTGAAGTCCTTTTGAGGCTTAGGTTTCATTATGTTCATACCTCTTTGGTGAAGTATTGAAACCACCTTACATAGCTGTATTACTATTTGTTTAAGCAACCTTGCCAAAGCTTGCTGTCTGAGAGTTTTTGTTAGGGAAGGACCTAAAAAAATAAAGGCAGCGAATCATTTGCACATTGTCTGATTTTCCTTTGAATGCAGAGGTGCTAATTTGCGTGATCAGACAGAGCTGAAGTATATTTAGTGTGATAAACTGCTTAGGGCTGGTGCGAGAGGACAGGGGGGCTGTGCTGGGGGAATATCTGGGCTGGCAGATTTTCCCAGCAACCTTGTGTGTACTCGTACGTCGGACCTCAGAGTACATCCAGCTACATCTTCCCACTTATTTTGGAAAAATGACTGAAAAGCTGTCTTCAGCAGAGCTGTGGTCCGTGCAGCACCAGGGGACACGGTCCGGTATCAGTCGTTAGAGCAATAACACAAACGAAACAAGCCCTCAGTGAGGTGGGACAGATTCCCTTCCACCTGGAGATTGTGCTAAAAAAATTAAATAAACACATTGCCCACTTTTTTTGCGTCCTGGCTGATAGGTTCGAGCAGATGCCAACAGAGGGAGCTGTTAGATTTGGGATGTGGCAGCTCCTGGCCGGCCGAGAGCTGCTGAGCCCGGCCCTGGCACAGCTGGCACAGCTGGCACGGATGGTATGGCTGATTGTGGCTGGCGTGGGTGGTTTGGCTGGCACGGCTGGCACAGCTGGAACAGCTGGGCAGTGAGTGGAGCCTGGTCCCACCGCGGAGCAGCCCTGGGTGGTGGCTGTCAGCGCCAGCGCCTGTGTCGGGGTGTCCCAGGACCTGCTGTCCCAGGGTTTGCTTTCCCTCCTCGTGTGCCCTTTGGGCACCTGTACCCTTACTGGGGGGAGGGTGGTAAGCAAAAGTTTGGGAGTACATTTTAAAAGGAGAAATAGCCGCAAAAGGAATTTCAAAGCCTCATCTGTAGAGTCGTGTAATCAAGAAAATATCTTTAAGGACTGCAGAGTCCACTAATTTTCTCCTCAATGTGCTCAGAAAAAAACAACATGAAACTTTCTGGTATGAAATCGATGCTGAAGATAATTGAGCAGAATGCAAGTTATCCTCAACTTTTCCTGTCTTTTTGCTCCCCTTATAAAGGTATAGACAACCTCTGACACACACGCTTGAGCTATTTTGACCTGAAAAGCTTTAAGAAGCCACAGACCCACCTTAAACCCTGCCCTGTTCTTCTTCATGGTATCCTGCAACTGTGTAAAGCCTGAGAGAAAAGAATGAGCTCTGCTACATTCCTTAAATTGTCCGTATCCCAGGGCTACCCTGCCTGGCAGGCTGGATCCCAGCTTTCCAGCCTGCCCTGAGCAAGCAGGGATGGGTACGGTGCAAAAGGGACTGGGAACTTGGGGCTGGGCTTAAAGGCCGATTAATCACAAGTACGTTGTATTGCTGCTGTGGGCTGGAATTGATGGGTCGGTTTGTATTTAAATTGTTTGGGGCATATTCAATAGCTGGCTCTAGAGCATTGGAAGGATACTGTTTTATTGCAGTTTGCCTAACACTAAATCAATAAACGCATTCAAGCAGATGGAAAGCAAAACACAGGAGAAAAATAGCACTCTTTGGAGGAGAAAAGAAATAGCAAAGAGCACTTCTCGCTGATACTTTCGCTTTGAAAACACAAGCAGATGCTCTCACAGCAGAGACCTGATCTAACATCCACCTGCCAGCTCCCCGGGGCTGGGACATGCCCCAAAGACACCACCGTTCTGCAAAGGGCACCCGGCACTGTAACAAGCAAAATATCACCGTTTATTGCAGCCGTGACCTACTGCACGGCACGTAATGAGGAATTTTCCATTTCAAACTTTAATGCAATAATTAAGATGTCCATTAAGGTCTTTACTGTTTGACTGCTTGTAATTAAAAATGAGGGGTTGGGGGGGTAATGGCAGAGAGTTGCAGTCCAGGGCATCAAGCTCCTGACAATTTTTCATCTCTGCTTTGTTTCTTTCTTCAAAATAATTTTCCTGGGTTTGTTTGTAACTGTCCTCAGGGCAGGTAGCCTGAAGAACACACGAAAACCAATCTGAGTTCCCACAAGTACAACTTGATTTTAAAAAAGACCTTTTCTCCTCTACCAAAGTATCTCCGAAATACCAGTGCTCTTGGCTTGCAGTTTTTGGGGGTGTCTCTGAGTATGGAGACCCTCAGGGCATTGTCTTGAGCCAGGCTGCCCCATCCGACAGCCCCGCAGCAGCGCTGGGGACACGGCATGAGCCAGGACAGCCGAGCTCCATCAGCAAAGAGTCACGGGAATAATCCAAAATCACAGCATGACCGTCAGCCGCAGGAACGGTAGCTGGGGTTTTATGCTCCAGTTGGTTTCCAGACCGGTATAGCTCCCTGCTTACACAGTTCCCGATGCAGGATTAAGGGTGGGGTAGGTCTTAATCCAATAATGAAAAGAGGAGAAACCCCCATATAAATCCATATCTTCCAAAGTGTCTCTGCTCCTGCGAGGCCAAAGTCCCATTATCCAGTAACAGGATTTGGCCTCCTAGAGCCAATACTGA